CAGGACCTGAATGGCAATTCCCTTTTTTTTTATGAATATTTACATTGCAGCGTACGTACATGCAGGCCACAAAACAGACCTGGCCGAATTCCGTTTGAGTAATTACAGCGTTACATTCACTCACTGGATCGTTTAGTTCCACTGTGGCGACCTTTCCTTCTCCATCTGTCAAAGTAAACGTCTTTCCTGACGGATGGACCTAAAAATAAAATACATAATACATACATAATAATAACAATTCAAGTGACCATTATTTGGGATGCAGTGACATACAAGCACGTCCGGTGTTATGCGTACTGAATTTGACTAACTGATACTAATACTAACCTTTTCGACTCGACCGACGAAGCACACTGGTTTGTTGATGTGCTGCGAGAGCATAGACCAGTTTATTCTCGATTTAGGAGCCTCTACGATACCTGCCATATCCATGTCTGTCTTAACTGAACAAAAACTGGGAATGGAGCAAGAACACAGAACGCGGGAAAGTTTTGTTGGTTGCTTTTTCTCTGCAGCGTATTCCGGGGGAGTGGGGTTATTTTAAACGACGTCGATAACTAAAACTGACTTGGCTGTGAAAGACAGGGTATTAAAAACAAACGCACCAAACAATTTAGTGACGTATAACTGTGCGCTTAAAATCACCTCCCTCCAGAAACACAAGTATATAGTTCCGCGATGCAACCCTTATACAACGATTCGCTGAGGAACTATTGTGGTTTCCGCAAGTTTCCACACGAACAAAGGGACGTGTTTATGGTAGTGACGTACAGACCGAACGAAAACAACAGATGACATCCCACGACAGTACGTCCATAACGGAATAAACGGTACGTTACCAAACAAGTTGTCGCTCAGCTAAAAACCAAACAGTAGTAAAATACAAAGCTGTAGGAAAACTTAACCTCACTGTTTGTTTTGTTAAGAGGAATATCGATACCGCTTCTCCATTATTCTTATGTGGTTATAGTTTCGATTTGACCGCAAGAAGACTAGAAACATAACACAGTGACTCCATTATTAATGAGTATAATCTCGAGTGTATACTGTGTGCACGTGATGTTCTTGTTCGAAGTAGCTGATTTAGGGCTAACAACCCTATTTTCAAAACATTCAAATCCACACACCCCCTTTATATGCACACACTATATTATGTTTTATTTATACCGCACATAATACATATTTTACCCCCGTTTTTAATATTTATAGTATTCACTGCATTTTAATTATTAGTGTATAATAGTTACACTGTACCTGTATATAAATCAACCAATACAAGTAACAACAAACGCGACATTTAATTAAAAATGTATACAATTAAGGGACCAGGTGTCAGGCTGTATCTTTGCATTTCTGCTGCCATGATAATGTTTGTGTTGTTTTTATTTTTACTAATACAAATGAATGATGGCGTAGTGACATTAATGTTCACCAGTGTCCTTCTGTTGACAGTGGCGTCATGTTCAGTTTCCTTGGACTTCGAAAAGAATCAAAGAAGTCAACATCTGACAGGGAATCAGATGGAGGCTTTGTCATTATTGGTGAGAGACCCATGTTTGTTCTTCCATACAGTGCAGAACAGTATGGCAGGCATGCCCCACTATATATATATATATATATATATTTATTCCTAAAGACTTTTATGTCACTAAAGGTTTGTCCTCGCTGAAATTATAATAACTGATGATTTAGTGATGTGTCTTGCGTCCTGGCAATGTTTGATCACTCAGGTCAGCTGATCAGTCTCGTGTGGTTTCCCTCTGCCTCTCATAAACACCTTGCTGTTCCAGACTGTTAGGAACTTCTCTGTAGCCTTTGAGTTATATGTCTTTAATGGTTTTACACAAAGGAATGTGTTTCCTTTGGTTTTAGATTCTGTCTTGTTTTTTTTTTTTTGGTTTTTAGTTTAGTTAGCGAGAGTGACCAAGCGCGGGTCAGTGACAGAGCGTCCTCATATCAGGAGCAAAATCCTGCAATAGTTGCAGACTTGTAACATGGCATACTCGACAAGTCAGTTGGAGCAGTTTTATACCATGAAATAACCACAATTATTTGATGCTATTTCGTTGGACACATCAAAGGATTCTAACCTTATACGATATTAAGCAACAGCTTTACATCGATTTAATGTATCTGCAACATTATTATACTATAACATCACTAATCTACCTGCACTAAAAAAATGGTGTAAGGAGAGCCAATAATACTGCTAATGCTAAGTTGTTAATAAGATGAGGGAAGAAGAGGGATAAATGGTGACTTTTCTGAGTTACACAAGACCATTTCAGTTGGTAAAGGTGTTTTGCGTAGTTCTTACAAATGAAGGGTAATTGTATTTGGTCATAATTTATCTGGAGCTCATTTTGTGTAAAAAAAAAATTCATGAATCGTATCGTGAGTTGAGCGTAACATTTTCAGTTTGAGTGAATAGTTTAGTGTTGTCGTTTTACTTTCCATTCGTTTCTTAGTCATCTGATTTCTTGTGTTTTTTTTTTGCAGGAGAGACGGTGGAGGAACAAAGGAGAAAGATCCAAACCATGAACATTACACAACCATCAACAAATGTAATAGTGCAGCCTTCAAAGGTACAAGTATGTTCATAAAATTACATTTGAAGTCAAACACATGCTGCACAGTGACCACATTTGTACAAAGCAAGCTTCTTGGAACCAGCTTTACTGATTTGGTTATATGCCCCCCTCCCGCAAAATATACAAGATATATACATATATATACATACATATATATATATATATATATATATATAATATAATAAATAATATTTTTATATATACAAAAATAAAATACAATATCAGCAATTTTTTTCCAACTGAATGAATAAAAAAATATTAAGAATTAAATGAATTTGTCCTGCTGTTTCCCCGTCTTCAGCAATTCTGCAGCCATACTACTGAGCACTAGTCACTGCAGGGCTTTGAAATACTAGATTAGAAAATGTAAGTGATCAATGTACAGTGTTCCCTCTCTATATACAAATGTAATTTTTTGTACTCCGTTCTACGTAAGTTTCGCTGTATCGCAGTATTTTACGGAAATTAAAAAAAAAAAAAAATCCAATATTTTCGTGATAAAACAAACATTTTCCATCCGTCTTGGCATTGAAATACTTTTCTTGTCTTTTACAGCCATCTTACGCACCTACTCCCACTCCTGCCATCAAAGACCTCCACACGCCCTTATCTAGCACGGAGCCAGCTGCAGGGCCCGCAGTGATGGAAGCAGTGTCCACTCTCCCCGACATCCTCTGCGACATCCCTTTCACATTGGCTCCCCACGTCCTAACCATGCAAGCAGGTGTTTCAGTAATCCCTGATGTGCTGCTCCTCCGGGATATTAACTTTAACCTGGCTAATTTTCAGTACGACTTCACTCTGGAGAACTCGGTACTCCACAGCACTTAGATGGTTTGATATCAGTTCGGGAGTTCAAATCTTTAAAGCTGGGGCACATAGTAGAAACGATTAAAAAGTGATTGTGATCATATTTGATAAAAGGATACCCGAGCTCCCTAAATTATAATAAAACCAACCCTAACAGCTCGCAATAACTGGATTTATAGAATACATTTAGGTAAATATTTTAGTTAGGTGTTTTTTTTTCCTAAACAGGATTTATGGAAATTACATCCTTGTTAAGGTAAAATTGGTAAAATGAGGCAAACCTGTAATTTTGTATTAGGATGTCAGTCGGCTCCAAGTTGAAACCAAAAAAAAAAAGAAAAAAAAGAATGGTAAATATTACATTTTTATTAACTTTGATAACATTTTGTCACTTGAAATTTTCTTACATTTCACAAAACTGACTTTACTAGGTTGCGAATGACTATTGTTAATGTCGGACAACGATATTTAAAATACCACTCATTTTAAGATGTCGAGTACCACTGTACAAAACGTACGTGTCCTTTTGTATATATTAGATCAGGCGTGGGCAAACTAAGGCCCGGGGGCCGGATGCGGCCCGTTCAGCTTTTCAATCCGGCCTGCCAAACTTTTCCAAATTCTAGAATTTATTTATATTATCATTATACTTCTGCCTTTCCCCTGCAATACTAACGTTCCCCCAATAGATGGTGTAGAAAATGATAAAAGCATTTTAGCCTTTATGCATGACTTTCACATGTCATTTATCTTAGTTCACACGAATGTTGCCCATGACTTTCACATGTCATTTATCTTTCACACGAATGTTGCATCTATCTGCTCCTGACCCGGCAGCCCCCTGTTCAATTTTAGGACAATTGTGGCCCGCGAGTCAAAACGTTTGCCCACGCCTGGGTTAGATGAACTGATTCCAGATTTTGAGCTATTGTTTTTGCTTACCGCAGCTCAGCAAACATCTTAAATGTCCCTGCACTCCTTCGACCTAGTTGTTTACAGTAATCAATTCATCTACAGTCTGTGTTTTCATGTAGTCTCTTCTTTTTATCGACATATTGTTCTTCCTTCCAAAATACATAGGAACCTCGGTTCTCTAACTTAATTGGTTCCTGAAAATCGTTCGTGAACCGAAAAGTTTGCGAGAACTGAAACAATTTTCCCGCAAGTGCTCAATCTGTGATCACTTGCTTCCCGCCTGATATCGTTGGCTTGTTCGGCAACTGAGTTATATTCCCATAACTTGGGGCAAATTCTTGGTTAAAAATTTTGTTCGTGAACCAAATATGTTCTAGAAATGGAAGCGTTGGACAACCGAGATTCCTCTGTATTTAAATTGAGGGATTTTTTTTTAGTTAAGTTAAATGTAGGCGTTTACAGTTGGAAAAAACGTGTTTACCCACGTGGCAATGTTGTACAGAACCTTCGTGGACTGCTGTTTGATGCTGAAAACACCAAAACATGACGTGGCTAAGGCAAACGTGTGAGTTCTGATTTGCCAAACATTAAGCAGAAACAATACCAATAAAATAGAAAGAGAGATTCAAGTTAATCACTGGTAGCAGAATAAGATGTTATGAGTTCACAGCTAAATTTGTATTTTCACCAAAATAGAAGAACCAAAAACGCCTCTCACATGTTTGAATTGTACAGTAAGGGTGTAATGCACCCAAAATGCTTGGTTGTCTGGTGATGAGGTTATGGTTGAGGTTATGAAGTATGTTATGGTTATGGTTAGAAACCACGCTATTTGGAAACAAGTGTAAGAGAAAAGTAGAAGTAGTTTACGTAATTCAGCAGTAGTTGAATTGGTTTCATGTAGCCGGAGTACATGTGACGATACATTATTAGAAGAGAACAGGGAATTGTCAGGCCTACCTACACGGCTGCTGCCCTTCCTGAGTTATCCATCCATCCATCCATCATCGTCCGCTTATCCGGGGCCGGGTCGCGGGGGTAGCAGTCGGAGCAGGGACACCCAGCCCTCCCTCTCTCCCCAGACACTTTCTCCAGCTTTTCTGGAGGGGATCCCTAGGTGTTCCCAGGTCAGCCGAGCGACATAGACGCTGCACAGGTGTTCCCAGGTCAGCCGAGCGACATGGACGCTGCAGTGTGTCCTGGGTCTTCCTCTGGGTCTCCTCCAGGTGGGACATGACACGAGCACCTCCCGAGGGAGCCTTCCGGGGAGGAGGGGTTTCGATGTAAATGCCCAAGTTACATCTTGATGTATAAGTGCATTGGCTCTACTTTGAGCTCCTCTTGGGTGACAGAGCTCCTCACCTTATCTCTGAGGGAGCACTCTGCTCATTTCGGCCGCTTGTATCCGGGATCTTGTTCTTTCGGTCATGACTCAAAGTTCATGACCATAGGTGAGGGTGGGATCATAGATAGACTGGTAAATCGAGAGCCTTGCCTTTCGGCTCAGCTCCTTCTTCACCACAACGGACCGATACGGCGACCGCATTACTGTGTTAATGTTATTTAATTACCTATCCCTTTGTTTGTTTTTTTTCGTGTTTATTTTTTTTTTACACTTAATCAGACCCGGTTTTCAAAAAAACCTGCTGTGCCTCAACAATGCAGTCTGTATACCACTCTGTACATCTGCCTCTTTAAAAGGTTTTTTTTTTTTTTTTTTCCCCAACCTGTTGTTGCTGAATTTGACTGTGTAAAGTTTTACAAATTGAATGTAAAAATTGTGTGTTTTTCTATAAATAGTTTTTTCCCCTTACGGCCCCCAATTTCAGGAAATTGCATAATACAAATTAAAAACGCCCAATAGTCACTCATTTTGGAAAAGGAGACGGGCATGCTAAGCACCGCATTATACTAACTGAAGACATGAGCTACTCTTGGTTTGAGTATTTACAAAATTCAAAGTGCACCAAACATTTTCAACACGACACTGGTCCAGACGAAACTGCACTGTTCCTGAGAACAGTGGCACAGATGTCGAACTCCTTTTCACCTTTATAGATGTAACCACTCCATACGATGTTAATACATTTTCCTGGAATTGATTATTATTTATATAAATTACAAATATTGTTCATTCATGTGTAAAAAAAACCCCAAACGTTTAATTTAACAGAAAGAAACGCAGCAGCATGGACTTTATTAAATGCTTTTTTTTTTTTTAAGTTCTTGCGGGCCATACAAAACGACTTAGGCGGGCCACATTTGGACCGCGGGCCTTGAGTTTGACACGTGCTGTAGGTTATATTTCTTTGAATACATATCTTGTGATGTTATATATATATATATTAAAGGTAAATGAGAAATATTATTGAAATATGGTTACGAAAACAATATTCGAGTTTAAAGCTTAAAACGTACACGACATTCAAAATGTATACCTTTAAAAAAAAATTCATATTCGATTTTATGTTTATTGAGTTCCGCAGATTCCCTAAATGATACCATCCCCAAGTCCACGCACCGCTGTCAGTCGTTGATAACGATGGGTGAAGGAAGACGACCGAGGAAACGGGAGACCAGGCTGGAGGAAGTAGGATGTTGCGAGAATACAAAAGCAACGCGATAATAAGTGGAAATTTAATTAACTCTACAGGTGTTTGGGTGTTGTAGCAACCTCAGTAACTTTTAACGAAGCCGGGGAAGTATGTGAACATGAAACTGAGTCATATATGTGTACAGCAACGCGGAATTTAGCTGTTGCGGTCATTTGACGTTGATATTTTTTTTTTCGTTTCCTAATTCCAAGTTCCACTGGGGGACCATGTTCGCATCCACAGCAGCAGGCAGGTCTTCCGAGCAGCAGCAGCAACAGCAGCAGCGCCCCGCAGCAGCCAGCTCAACCACCCCCAACGATAACACGGGCCAG